TAAAAGAGAATAATGAGGCCAACAAAACATGTGAAAAATGAGTCGTCAATTGGCCATGCCATCATTCTAACGTTTCATTGCAGTTTATTTCTGAGAAGTTTCTGTGTTCTTGTTTTGTGGTTCTATGTGACATACATTTAGCCTTGTAATACATTCCTCTTTGGCTTAAGCGAGCTCTAGTTTCCATTATTTCCTTCCAACCTAGTACACCACCTGCTTCCTGAGCTGGGTCCGTGATGAGTTTGTACCCTAAGATTAGCTAATATGTAATACTGTGGACTGGCTGCTGGCACAGAAATACACCACCGAATCCCGCGGCTCTGTAGCCTGGATCTCAAGGCTACAAGATGAATTTTGGGGGCACTTCGCTGAAAATCTTTTCTTGGGTATGCCTGTTTCATCAAAGACGTTTTCATTCTGGAAGGAAATCAAGAACTTGAACTCTTTTTTCAGGACCTGTTGATACCAGAAAACATAACCATGTCCTGTTATTGGGACACAATGTAATATTGCCTTCTGTCCTTTCCCTTTGACAAAATGTCTTGGAGTCTGGATGACTTCTTCACCAGGGGAACCTGTAAAGAAAGTAGACAGGAGTTGGAGACTGAGCCCATGAGGGAGTTTGATGACATGGATGAAAGGCTTAGAGCAGGGGGCTGACAAGTGCAGAACAAGGACTCACCTGCAGCCGGGAGACAAAGGATCAGGAAACAGATGAATATTGGGTTCATGGTAGAATTAGGGGAAGAGCAGGCAGCAGAGGCAGGTGGCTATCTGTGTGGCTCTCCCTGCCTCTAGCAGTGGCTTCTCTGTGACGTGATCACTTAATAGAATCCAATTGCCTTTGGCATCCTGCTTTATACAAGTAATACAAATTAACAGGATATACGAAACAATTGTATTCAGCCACCGGAAAGCAGGCAGTACAGGACCGCGATTCTGCCAAAGTGCCAAAACATGGGGGCCATTTCCGTACACACAGAGTGGTGAACAGGGCAACAGAGCATGGCAAATTTTGAGTTGTGGAAAGAGGCTACAAAATCAGCGGGTGCTGAGGCAGCCAGAATTTTCAAGGAAAGACCACCAGAGAGGAGGAAGCTGCACAAGAACTCCAGCTGTTGAGAGGAATTATCTTAAATTTTTGGCTAAACGATAATCTGTGTCTGTGTAGGAAAAAGCTTTAAAAGGCACTGGAGAGAAACCTCAGACAGGCTTCACCAGAATCTGCAGAATGGCCATGCTGTAGTCATGAGACAAAATTAGGCTAGAGCAGGGGTTGGAGAACTACAGCCCACGGTCTGGATACCTATTTCTGTAAACTGTGTTATGGGCAGGGGGCTGGAGGGGAGAAGTAATCCTAGAATGGCAGCATGAGGAGCTTTGAATACCCTCTCCTCAGAAGGAAAAAACCATAACAGCTGAAAATTTAAAAACAAGCATTGGAGATGGCTGAAAATTCATGAGTCGTGATCACTTACCTGAATCTGACCTTGAGTTAATCCTTCTTGGCCTCTTGTTAGAGAGTTGGAAATATCTAGTGTTGTTGATCTCTATAGGTGGTGATGTAATAAACTATTCCATAGTAGGAATTGCTGCCTTGTCTTTCAAAATTAAAATGAGAATGAGGACACATTCCTTCTCATCTTCTGAAACCGACATTCTATAGCTGGGAAGTACCAATTCTTTCTTGTACTGGTGAACCTTATCCACTCAAATATCCATTTATTCAATCCATTATTATAAGTATTTCAGCGCACTAAAGGCCATAAGATACATACTGGCTTTAAGAAAGCTATTCTGGTAGGTTTCAGACACCCCATTTCTTCTGAACAAGCTGTGGTACTTTATATTTTTTATTCACATTAAAAGTTTAGGCCAGACTCTAATAATTTTAATATATCTTCTAAAGCACCACATCTAACTTTTTAATATAAGTCCTATTTATGAGCCACATAACTGGGTTCATCAACAGATTTACATTAGGGAAATAGTTAAATGCACTGTAAATAATGCATGACCAAGACAATTCATTTGTCTTAAATTCTGGCACAAAGTTTTAGCAGTTCTAATTTTCCCGCTTGGTAAGAAGACTGTGAGACTGCACCAATGTTCCTGTGAGGAAAGTTTCTTCTCTTTTTAGGGCATGGATTCATGAGAGTAAGGTTCTCTCTTGCCTAGGCTTGCCCTTAAATGCAAAGATCTATACAGTTATAGGATTCTTTACAAGTCTGGAGGCTCACAGATGTCTGCCAGACTGGATTTGCACTGGCCAGTGTTTAGGAAACAGTCTCCTCCTTGTCCAGAGTAGCATTGTCCTTTTCATGTACATCCGTTTGGTTTATAACTTCCAGGAGTTTTAAACAAGTCTGTCTGATGTGTTTATTACCTTATTCCCAGAACCTGGAACAATGTCTGCTATACAGGAGTTCCTAAATACATATTTCCTGAACAAATGGCAAAAGAATAAACATCAGTGCCAGTCCAAGTCATGAGTCTTGTTTACAGCATTGTAAGTTTCATCACTCACATCTCAGTGTCACCTCTGTTTCTGTCCCTGTGATCAGGTTATGCACAGAGTCTGTGGGACTAGAGTATAGGAGCAGGTGCTGGAGAGAATAATGAGAGTGAATATTGAATTGCCAGAGGAAGGTGTGGAAACAGACTACAGTGTGAGCGCCTGAGGTGGACAGGCCATCTATGCCCAGGACTCACTGCCCTCAGGAGGCAAATGGGCTCAAAGCAGAGGAACCTGGTGCCATAGGCAGGCTTGGGGCATCAGGGGGCCTCAAGCTTCAGAGTTCTAAGGGCTCTGCCTCCAAATTATGTGTGCTGCTTCTATTTTGTCTCATTATCTACAGCTCTCTAAAACCCTGCACATATTTGCTTGGTAAGAAATTGGCAAGTTTTTTGGATCAAAGAGGGGTCTCAGACTCTCAGATAAAATAAAACAGGGTTAGTTTTTCTAGATCAAACTAATGTGTTTTCAGCACTAACAGCATACCTCAGAAAGCATACAGGTGACTAGTTCATGTCTATTCTTAATGAGGAAGGCAGACAGAAAGAAAGGAAAGAAGGAAGGAGGAAAGATTGAGAAGCACAAGATAGAAATCATTTTATTTTTATTGAACCTGAGCTTCCTCCGGAAAGACAGGCTTTATGCAGGTCATATAAATTAATTAATCACCTCTAAATAGTATGGTTCTAAATCGTATGGTTCATACAGAAGACTCATGAAAAGGTCTAAGCCAGCCTCTCTGGATAAATCCAGGGTTCTAGTCCCTGTGGTGAAAGTGCTCTTCTGTCTCTTCTGTCCCAGTGGGTGTATGGCTGTGATACCACCACACATACCAACTCTTGGATTCCAAGAGTCCTTTCTTGACATAGTGAACTTGCAGTTTATGGTGACCCTTTCCCCGTATCTCCCAGCCTTCCGGACTGCATGTTGGCGAGTTTGGATAGAGGTGCTCCACAGCTTCTCTCACCATTCTTGGAGGCAGCTGATTTTCTGCCTGCACCTGCCCCCGAACATCCAGCCACTTCATCCACGTTCCATCCTCATAGGTTCCCTACCATGCACGTAACCACAGTTCAGAGTTTACTGCTTGAGGAAAACACCTCAGCATCTCTACAAGTTAAAGAACTTATGTTTACTTCCTCACCTTCTAAGGGCAGCTCATCCATCTCTAAAGGATCCCTCGGGATCAGGATTTAAAGCCAGCATTTTTTACCCTTCATCCTCCCAGGTTTATCCTAAAGAACTTCTTACTCTATGTTGGTCCTCAGCGCCACTCAGTGCTAGTCAACCAATGACGCATAGTCACAGGTGCTCACGTCTCTGGCCAAGATGCAAAGGAAAGTGAGTACAGTGTTGGGTGAGAGTGTGGAAATCTTCCAGCTTATCACCATTTACCTTCCTATCCGAAGGTCTGGCTTAGAATCCACGTAAACTCTGAAGAGAGAATGAGCTCCAGAGGTAAATTGTCTACATTTCGATCCTGGCTCCACCACAAACGAGATGTGATAAAGGGCTAGTTACCTGTCTGTGTCTCAGTTTCCCCATCGATAAATGAGTGAGATTACAATAGTACCTACTTTCTGAGGTGGTTGTAAGCTTACATGAACTATAAATATATGTGAAGAAGACTGAAGGTCTAGCATGCAGCAAGTGCTTAGTAAATGTTAGCTATTGTCATTAATCTCAATAAAACAATGTAAAAGCTCTTTTTTAAAAGCTTTTGTCTTTTTTTAGATTATCTTTATTCAATGTGCAAAATTTTACATTTTTAGAGAGCCATATAACTATATTTTCTGCTTTTTTTCTCAGAATGCCATTCTCATTAAGGGATAATTATAAGATAATTTGTAAATATATACTTCCATGTGACAATTTATGAGGTTTCAGTATTTCTCGCTCAGCATTTTGTTTATCTTCATTAAGGGGAGCAGGAACTCCCTCTTCTTCCCTCCTGCAGCTGTTCTTTTATTTATGTTTGCTGGAGCCCTTAGGCATGTCAGTGACATTATTACTCTCTTCTATAGCGATGGCTCCATGATCTTCATCTCCAAATGTGCTCTATTTTCAGTATGATTTCTTTATATATTTATGGTTTCCATTTGGCCATCACAATAGTACCTCTAACTCCAGATAGGAGCAGATTAATGTCTGGTCTTCCCTTTTTTTCTCTCTCTCTCTTCAATATGTTTTTTTTCTCTGAGAGATTTTTATCTTGGGATTCTTGTGTTTTCATTCTTCCATTAATGCGGTAGTTGTTCCAGGTCTGGGCTAAAAACATGTGGATTATCCAGGAGTATGAAATCCTATTAGGGTTAATCAAATGCTAGAGACTTGAGTTTATGTGACCTTGGGTCTTCATAATCCTTCACATATCACCTCTTATATTTCTAAGCCTCTGACTTAGATTAAAACAATCAAAGAAGAAAGAAAAGGCTTCTAGTCATCTTCTGAAAAGACAGCATGGGTTCTCAATATGATCCTGGGAAACACCACAAACTGAATGCCAGGCATGTGTAACCACTTTTCTACTCTTGGCATAACTGTCAATGGTTTTTATTGATTTGTGCCTAACTTTTGTCTACAGATGAGATATTGACAGCCACAAACCCACTTCCTATTGTTGTAAGAGGTGGTGGGGGAAGAGTCCTAGAGAAAGCACCTGCATCTGGGAACCGATGAGGTTTATGAACAGAGGGGAGGCAGCACTGTAGCTCTGTGTCTTTGCTGCTGGCACACAGGTATGTGGCTGCATCCCCCAGGACTGATGAGTGGATGTCAAGAAAGCAGAAAGAGGTGTTGGGCCTCCTGGCTTGGAAGTTATCAGGCGTGTCTGCTTCATTGTTCAAATCTTTGTCATAGTAGTAGAGCAGCAGCTTTGGAGCCTGACTTGGCTTCTGCTGGTACCAGTACATGGCATCATGGTTCAGATTCTGAAAACAACTCAGAGTCACTGGCTTTCCCAACTGGGTAAGCTGGTATCTTGGGTTCTGGATGACCATGGCATCCCCATGACCTGTAAAGAAAGAAGACAAATTTGTAGTCAGAGTGAAGGAGAACAATGTTGCTGCCATGAATGAAAGGCACAGACAGGACAAGATAGCTTTAGTCAAATATTTTCTTTCTATCCGGGACTCACCTGCTCCAAGGAGACAGAGGGCCACCCAGTGGAGAAGCCCAGGACCCATGGCGGGAATACCATCCCATACGGGAATGAAGCATCCGTCTGTCTCAGGCTCTGATTCCTGGGTTGGGAGGCGGGAGTTTAGAGTCCCCAGTCCCTGATAGGCAGATTTGCCTGTGATGACTGTCGCTGTTGACTTCACCAGGGCCGGGGTCATTCCTCGCTGCATTGTTATACACAACTTCCTACTTGGCAGGTACATGGGCTTGTCTGGAACAGGGATGGAACAGATATTTATTTTCTATATCATTTGCTGCTTCTTTGAGACAGGCGTTCCCGTATTTGCCCCGTCCCGGTCTCTGTCCCATGTTCGTCCAGTTCTCCTCACTTTACCCCTCTTTTCTCACATCCTAAAAAGCAGCCCAGCGGTTTCTCCATATAGGTAGCATTTGCTAAAGTCTCACTCAGAAACCATTAAGATAGTGCCTTTGCTTTTTCTACTCACATTAAAGATGGATTAATGTGATTAGGTACTTAGTGTATTTATTATAGGAAATTAATTTCTATTTATATCATGAAACTATATTTAAAATGTTGGTGCCTAGATTTAGGAAAACTGATTACATAATATCTGGAGTACAGAGATATATGTGGTAAGTAGGGTTGTATCTGACCTAGTCCGGGAACTGTGAGAAATGATACTTGAGAAGAGGGGCCTGATGCCTGTAATGATTGTAGGTGTCATCTAGACCTTGGCTACTCCGTGTGGGCCATGGACTGGTAGCTTTGGCCTCACTTAGACTCCTGTTCAAAATACAGGGAATCTTAGGCTGTACCCCAGACTGATTGGATTAGAATTCGCATTTTAACAAGGTCATAATTTACATGCACATTTAAGTTTGGGGAGCCCTGGGCTTAGAGGATCTTTGGAGATGTTGGAGAAATATATGCAAAGCAGTATGTCAAGGACACATGAAAAGAAATGATATTATGTAAGGATGGTTCAGATAGAATCATTTGCATGCTGGCCCTCCTAAAGATATCATTTCTTTTTTATCCTAAAGCAGACAATTAGAAGTTGAATATTAGAAGCTTGCTGGACTAGCTGCCATGAATCTGTACCTTTCCCTGGTCTGACTAGGAATAGAATAAGGACAATCCATTTCAAGTCAAAGGTAGCAATTCATGATTTTTTTAGTGGTCTAGGAACCTGTGGATGAAGATATCAGTGTTCAATTAATATATAGTTTTAATATGATTTCATTCAAAATGTCAGATTGGATAAGGCTGATAATAATTTTAATAAGCATGGAAATTTGAAGCTGTATCATAAATGACATTTGTAGGCACAGTGTGGCAAACAGCAGGAAATATTTGAGGCTAGAGGTGACTGTTTTCAAGGTTCCCATGGCCTGGGTCTTGCCTGACTTCTGTCATGGTTGAGGGGATTATTACAGTGGCATGCCTGTCATCCATTCATGGAACTCCATTGGTGAGCTCTTGTCTACATCACAGCGTGAGTCTGGCCCATCCGTGTAGCCAGCTTGGTCAACATTGCATATGTGTAGCCTCACCTTCCTCACGGAAACCTGCTGAGTCCACTGACAACACCACTTTAGGACAATGAGAGTGATGGGCACAGCGAAGCATTGAAAGGCTTTCAATTCCATCAGATCCAACCATATGCTGTGTATTTATGACTGCAGACACTTAAATCCAGACAGACATGTTCTCTTAGGGATTCTGTAAGAAATACCTTGTCAGTTTTTGCAATTTGTTCTGGGTATGGCCTCATGTGGTGTCATGCTCAGGGCCTGCTTCAGAGTTGCCATCTCTCATGTGTACAGGCTTAGGATGAATTTTCTGTCATAGGTTGATAATTAAGGGAGAAACTTTACTGATGAAAGGGAAAGCATAAAGGCCAAGGGCAGTATGGGAGGAGAAGACCTTGGTCCCTCATCCTCCTATCATGCCAAAGACAGGTGTGCTGGGTGCAGGGTCCAGGCTGCTTAGCACTAGACATTCCAGTTTTGAAGTATCAGCTGTTTATAGGACTTGCCATCCTTGACTTCTTCATGTATAATTTAAATTGCAGCTTTTATCACTTCCTGGAAAATGCAAAGACCTTAGAGCCCTTACCTTCATTTATTCTTTTCCATCTTTTATGCCAATATTGTTCATTATTTATAGCTAATCTAAAAACAGCTATTATTTGTAACATGAAGATATATTTGAGGCTTAATCAGAATAGATGTTGATGTTTTGGAGCGTTCTTGAAAGTTCTGGAGACCTAATGGGCAGCATGGTGACTATAGTTAATGATAACGTATTGTACACTTGACATTTTCTGAGAGTAGATTGTTCTCACCATACATACACAAAGGTAACTTTGTGAGGTGATGGATATGTTAATTAGCTTGAGTGTGGTAATCATTTTGCAATGTATACGTATATCAAAACATCACCTTGTGTACCTTAAATATATACAATTTTTATCAGTCAATCATAACTTAAGAAAGATTAACAAACAAAAAAACAGTATTAGAAAAATGTTACATAAAGATATCACTTGAGCTAACAGAACTATAAAGACAGCCACTGTGTGTCCATTACAGGATAGAACACTAGGTGTCTATAATATGAGATGGAGAAGCACTGAATTAAATTTCTGCTTGCCAGAAATTGGAATTGAGGCAATGTACCCACTGCAAACTTGTTTTGCCTTATAGCTGCTATTTTTAAATATAATGGAGAGCTTAGAGTATAAAAATAAATCAATAATTCAGCGACTTATTATGACCTTGGATTACATAACAAAATAAAAGGAAAAGCACCAGTTAGGGTTCTCTAGCTGAAATTTTGAGCAAAAGCTCATGTTCAATATGTGACTATGCTTTATAAATCAGTTTCTCTTTGTTCATACTAAAGAAGGTGATGGACAACTTTCAAGCAAGATATGTGTTTGTGATGCTGTGACAGAAACAATATACCCATTCATATTACATGTCCACATAGAGAGTACTGATTGTCTACAAATTACATCTTGATCATTAAAAAGGAAAATATGGTTTGAAAAAATACTACAAACCCACTGGTAGAATTTTCTCACTATCTATTTGCCTAATCAACATTAGGATATATGTTCAATAATAACTTGATGCACTAAATAACAACCAGACTAGGGAAAATGAAACTTATTATTAGAATGAATTTTAGTATTGTTTGCAAAAACCTGACTGAAACACAAGCAGAATATTGGAATCCAGATGTTAAAAGAAGGGAGTTGAACCAGGTAGAATGTATTATACCATTAAATCTCATTAAAAGCTACATATTCCAGGCCAGGCATGGTGCCCTATGCCTATAATCCCAGCACTTTGGGAAGCCAAGGAAGGAGGATCAGTTGAGTCAAGAAGTTTGGGACCAGCCTGGGCAACATAGCAAGACCTGTCTCTGCTAAAAATGCAAAAACTAGCTGGGTGTGGTCATGCACACCTATAATCCCATCTACTAGGGAGGCTGAGGCAAGGGGACTGCTTGAGCCCAGGAGATTGAGGGTGTAGTAAGCCATAATCATGCCTCAATTGCATTTCAGCCTGGGTGACAGAATAATTTTTCTCTTTTTTTTTCAAAAAGAAAAAAAAGAAGGCTGGGCACGGTGCCTCATGCCTGTAATCCTGGCACTTTGGAAGGCTGAGGTATGCAGATCACTTGAAGTCAGGAGTTCAAGACCAGCCTGGCCAACATGATGAAACCCCATCTCTACTGTAAATACAAAAATTAGGCAGGCATGGTGGCGGGCACCTGTAATCCAAGCTACTCAGAAGGCTGACGCAGGAGAATCACTTAAACCCAGGAGGTGGAAGCTGCAGTGAGCCGAGATCGTGCCACTGCACTCCAGCCTGTCTGAAAAAAAAAAAAAAAAAGAAAGTCAAAGGAATACATATTCCTATTGCCGCAACTGGAAGTGATCTCAAAAAATGTCAGCTGACATATCTATTTATAGTGCTAACTGTATGTTTTATATTAAAATTGCAGACCCTATGTGGACAGAAAAATTAGCATTAACCTCTGATAATGGAGTTGGCTACTGCACTCAAAAATCAGATTGTTTTAAAGAGTTTGAACATTTATAAATACTAGACAAAAACAGCCTAAACTAATTACCACTATTACCAATGTCACCACTACCACCGTTACTAGCATCGTCATTGCACAACCTAAAAATCGGGAGTAAATGCATTTTTATTCACTATTCTTATTTCCATTAGAAAGAATTCCTCATCTTACTATGAGAAGGGATATAAAGACGTGGCCTCACAGTCAGAGTCACGAACCTTTCAGAGCAGCAGGATAGGCAAGAAGTCTACTGTACTTTATAACCAGGGCAATATACACTTTAAAAAATAAAACCGGAAACACGTAGATTGAGTTCTGTGTAAGGAACTTCAGAGATCCCCCAAACCACAACTACTTTCACCCAGATCTTCTTAGAATACTCTTGTATTTTCATGAGTTAATTCTGGTTCTTTATTTCCCCTTCCCTGGGGGAGGAGGCACAGGGAAAGCCTTCCTTTTGGGCAGGTGTGAGTTGACAGAAGGCTATGGTTTTGCACAGTGAGGGCATGACTGTGAAGCACTGTGTCTAGGCTGCTGGCACAGAAATAAATTCCAGAATCCTCCAGTTCTGCAGATTTCACCGTCAGAGTGGAAGATGTCCCTCCAGTCCTTTCAGCTGAGAATCGATGACTGGGCATACCGGACTCATCCTGTTTAGAGTCTCTCAGAAAGTATATCAGAAATTTTATTTCTTTTCCCATGATACGTCGATACCAAAAAAGAGACTCATGTCCAGAAATTGGGTCACATCTCAGAGTCACAGCCTGGCCCTTCTCTATTACCCTGTGGCTGGGGAACTGAGTAACTCCAGCAGCTGTGTGCTCTGTGGGAGGAGACAAAAACAGAATACATGACATTAAAGTCTGAGATAGGGTAGAACAGAGATATTTAAGTTTTGGAAGACTTACTTGTTCCCAGGAGACAAAGGGACACTAAACTGAGAAGCCTGGAAACCATGGCAGGACTCAGGTAAATCACGTTTCCAGATGAGGGAGCTTGCAAGCATGAGAAAAAGGCAAGCAAATCTGTCTCTTGGCCCTGTAAGATGTGGCCTCCAGTGGCGTCAGCATGTTAACCAATGTCCACAGCCTCAGGTGCTCCCTCTAGGGACATGGAAAGGAGAAGACCCAGCCAGGGATTCTCCAAAGAAGATTGCCCCTAGAGGGGACAATGGAGAAAAATTGACGTCGATTAAAATCAACCTGTTTATGCATTTGACTAGGTGTTAACCTTCATCAGGAAGTCATAACTCCTGCGTCTGATGTCTGGATCCTACCCCATCATGTTTCCATCTAGCCCTGTCTTCCCTCTTGTATCACATCCCTGAAGACTGTGGGGCATTTTGACTTATGGTAGCTCTTGTTGCTATTGCTAATGATCAATACTTACCTCCAATTCTCTTTTCCCATTATCTCTCAACACACTCCAATCAAGCTTTCCCCATCACCATTCTCAAGCAGCATGCTCAAAACATGAAAGCTTATCCTCAGCTTTGCTCCACCAACAGCCTTCCAGCTGAAAACCTTAAAGTGGTTCTTGAATCCTCTTTTTCTATTCCACTCTATAGCCAATCCATTGGGAAATTCAACTGGCTCTATCATCAAAATATACTCA